TCGGGGCCGAGGCGAGGTCGGGATCTCATTGGCTGTTGTGATCGATATATGTATGTGTTGTATGTGGAACTCTTCTCGCAACTGTGCTAGTCGGAGGTTCTGTATATATATGTACACTTTTCAAACTCAACACGTTCCTCAATAGCACAGCGTTGAAAACAAAAAAGTGTATTTGATAGGCCGTGGAAGGACATCAAAACAGCTTTCGGCCATGTCTATGCACGTGGCAAGTGACGTCATAGACACCCTTACACACGTGGGCGCTGCACCCCAAGGGCTTACCCAGGTGAAGCAGTACATCAAATGTACGGTGCAGTAAGATCATCGTATAGTTTGGTGATTATTTCGTCGTTTGAGGTGTGTACGGTGCTTCTCGTGCAAGACGAGGACAGATCGCGCTCTCGATGAGCTCTCTAGAGCCCCGTACATATTTAGCGGAGGCCCTTCCACCAGCGGGGGGCGTGAGCGAGCACTTGCAGGGGCTGCGCCTTCACCCACCTTACCTGCTTCACAAATGGAAACAAAGTCAACTTTATTTCCTGCGAAAATTATAATTACTGAGGCTGTGCTCATCTGCTGACGCTGCCTGCACGCGACCGTGGTAGGAAATTCCACGTTCCTATGGCGGTTGGGCGGAGGGGTTGGAGGCAGCAGCGCAACTACGGCACGACGTCGTATTCGTTTTATCGACCCCCCGCCCTCGGGAGGAATGATTGTTGGGAGGAGCCACCCACCCACCCGCCCACCAACACCTCGGCTCAAGCCGCCGCAGCAAACTGCTGTTTGTCTAGGTGTGTGTCTCGCTCTGCGTGTCTGCGTGTGTCTGCGTCTCTCTCTGCATGTGTGTCTGCCTATGCTGTCCCCGTGTCTCTGTTTAATCATTCATTCTTACCCGATGACGGTTGCTTGTGTTGCAACCGAAACGTCGTGTTCTATTACAACTACTTGATTTCACTGTCTACGTCACTGCACCGAAAGAACCGAAGATGAAACTCCCGCGGTCGCGAAAAGCTTCGCGTCTCGTGTTTAAACTTTGACGCTTTTGAGAGCTGAGCGCTTGCGGCCCGAGGCCACGTGGGGGCGCAGTGGGCGGCCACGTGACGTGGGGGCGAGCGTTGTGGGCATCGCCGCAGCTACGAAACCTCACGATCCCTACCCCCCAACCCCCCCAACCCCCCAACCTCAACCAGTTCGATTCTCGATCACGGCCAACACCAGCGACGATTGTCTGAAACCGGTGCTGGGCCTCCCCCTAGATCGACTCAGCCTCAAATGAGTTTACCTGGCGCGGTGTGCACAAACGGGCGTGGGTTTGGCCACCCAACCGCCTTGTGCGCTCCGTGGCGGAAAGAATATGTGCTCGCAAACAGCACTTGCCCCCCAAAAACACGGGCTAGGGCTATACGGGGGAGGGGGGGGGGTATTTGTATTTGGGGGAGCGGAGGGGTGGTGGTGAGCGCGTTCCAGTCCCACTTATGCAGCAACACCCGTGACGATTTTACGAAACCGGTCGTTGGGCTAACTCCAGGTACGACTCAGCCTTTAATAAGTATAACCCGTAAAAACAAAGTTTTTCACTATAAATCCTTTATATGCGTGGCGGCTAGAGTCCTCTCGTCCTCTGGCTTGAGATAGCTGCCACCTATGGGTCAGATGATTGCATGCCACCATTAAGCAATTGGTAATTAAATATAATATTTTTGTCCTAAAAAGTGTAAAATTTTTGAAAAAAAATTTCACGAACATTAATTGTCACGCACAACGAGTCTGTGTGGAAAATGTCAGCTCGATTGGATCACGGGAAGTCGGTTAAAAAACGACAGCAAGATTTACACGGTCGTAAGCAAGCAAGCGAACTTAATATAAAGGATTTAAAAATGAATTACAAGATTCGGGTTTTTGAACAAAAAACTAAAATAAATCATAATCGCTAGAAAGACTAAGGCGGCCGGGCGTGGTGTTGGCCACTCACACCACCACCCCCTCTCTCGTGTGTGTGTGTGTGCCTTGCCCGGCCTTCATAGGTGCTCGCTAACAGCACTTGGCTCCCTCCAAGAGTATTGGGGGCATGTTTGCCTTTTGTAGAGTCGCTGCGTTATTGAAGCTCGCCAGGCAAGCACATGTTTTATGGTTGGAAAGAGGAGAGAGAGAGAGAGAGGAAAAAAAGAGTTTGTGGGGAGGAGAGGCTATTTGATTTATGGTGGCACTCATTGGAATGTTGCCAGGGAGGCTGGATTGTGGCTCCGGCGAGGTGAGGAGGAGGAAGGAGGGGGGGGGGAGACGCCTCCCCATGGGACACAGACCCCGCTCCCATCACCCACACACCACCACGTACGGAACGTACACACAGATCTACCAAGGCTAAGATGCGCGCACACGCGCACGCGCGCAGCGCATAAACCACGTACGTTCGAAAGAAAGGGCAAAGATTTAGCACCTCGCCCCTGTAGCCTTGACGGACTGTTGGGGCAAGTGCTGTTAGGGAGTAGCTTTGAAGCCCAGCACGGCACGCGAGAGCAACCAGTCACACGCCCGGCTGCATTTGTCTCCCTGGTGGCAATGTTTAACACACGGCCATCAGGTACTCGTTGAAGGCCGATTCCACATTGAGGAAGGTTCGTCGCTGATGTTGGCCGTCGGCTGGAATCGAAATCGGATCGCCAAGTTCACAGCGCAGCGCGCTAACCGCCACACCACCGCTCCCCACTGCACACACAAAGACAAAGATCCCCCGTATAGCCTTAACAGACCGTTGGGGCAAGTTCTTTTAGCGAGCACCTATGCAGGCTGGCACGGCACACAAGAGGGTGGGTGGCGAACACCACGCCCGTCCGCCTTTGTCTCCCCAGTGCTGATGTTTACACACCTGCACCAGGAGGATACGCATTTAAGGCTGAGTCGACCTAGGGGAGCACACACACGCGCTATATACACGCACGGCACGAAACACTGCAATGTTATTTGCTGGCATACGTGGAGTGAGCGTGCACGCGAATAATCAGGGTAATTGCCTGAAACATTCTTGCCCTTTTCTTCAACAAAATACGCACGCGCGCACGTTTAGCCATTTCAGCCAAGGGCAGGGGAATTGTGATTTAAGGATTACCGTATTCTCAATGAGACCCACCGCATTACCTGTGCCCCCCTACACACTCATCTGGTCGCACGCGCGCGCTCACACCCACGCACCTACCGGATTATAAGACGCACCCACACGCTTTCCTTTAAACTACAGGGCTACACGTGTGTCCGGAGAATAAGGTAGGAGTAGTAAAGGATTAACAGATGATTATTTTTCACATTTACACTTTAACGAATCTCCCCCCGCCGTCACCCCCATTCGAATCAAATAATAATAATAAAAATGATGAAAACAATTGATTTATATTCAACTAGCTTTACTAGCCGGCTTCGCCCGAGACTTGGATTTTTGTCTTGGATTAATATGCGGAGGGTGCGGGGGGGGGGGGGTGCGTGACGTCAGCAGGCACACTGCGTCACGCTGCCGCATGCGGGTGACATCACTGATGTGACGTCACCACTCACTTGCCGTGCAAAATATATCCATTATTGCGCCCCCCCCCCCCCCCCCCCAAATACAAAAGTCTATTTTTATACTTTTTGCATTGTGCGCAGTCTGGAAGCTACCCACATGCCAAATTTCAAGAATGTTGCATGTTGGGAAGTACGCTAAACATTTCGAACAGACACACTTATTCGCAAATTTCCCTTATATATAAACAAAAAAATGGGGGTGAATATAGCGCCCTCAAGTGGCTGGTTCGCAGGTCACGGGGTCAACCCGTCGCATCGTCCCCACACGACCACCACTCCACCGCTGGATGACAGTCTGCCCGCAAGTCACCTGCCGCGACGACTCTCACACCAACCCGCGGACTCGTTCCATCCTCGACTGCCACTCCGATGTTGTTGTTGTTATTCTTCGTCTTCTTCGTCTTCTTCTTCACCAACCTCGTCGTCGTCGTCTGTTTCTAGCCACCACGTGTCCTGCCCAAGCCTCACGTGGTGGCTGATTGCCATCGGTGGAGTTGCGGTGTTTCTCAAACTTTGTTTGGCACCCCTCGGACCACCCAGCCCCTCCCCCCTCCTCTCCCCCTCCAGCCCCCCACCTCTGGTGACAAAACTCATTCCACGTATCTCTCTAAATGGCAGGAAGTCCTAAATAATTTATATTAGCGGAACAAATGTATAATATTTTTACTCAGCTATAAGGTTTGTTTTGGGGAGGTGGGGAGGGGCATTTAGAGCTTGAGACAACATTTTGAAGATGGCATTTAACCCAGAATCTGAACATTTATTTTTCCTGCAGGAATCCGATGCGCTATAAAGCTCTTTTTGCACAGATGGCCAGCGCGGGGTATGAACGTTACAACAACAAACAGTACAAAACGTGATAGTAGTACAGAGTACAAGAAAGGTAAACAAACCACCCAAACAAAACTAAACCGTTCCCATCCTACCAGGCAAAGCCCACTGAGGTATTAACTTATATTTCAGAAGCGACCTGGCCACGATTGATAGCTCAACAAAGTGGCACCTCCGTTTGGACATTTACCAAAATCACCCGCATTGTAACCATCCAGTTGCGTCTCTAGCCAATCTCCATCATTCCATCTCTATCCTCATTTAAACTGACTCAATTGTTAAGATCACTCTAGGTTTAAGTGCGAATGCAGCTTTACAACATAATTGCTCTGACCGTATCAAGTGTGTGTTTATGTTTGTTTACATGCGTAGTTGTGGAATATTTTGCAAGGTGTCTACCTGCAGAGTTTGGCCTTTCAAAAAGAGCTTCTTAGCTCTACGGGCGTGACTCGGGAATTAAACTTCTGATTCTGAACACAACCATATTCATCATAAGGCACGGGGGCGGCGGTCAGGGGGGGTCAGGGGGGAATTAACCCCCCACCCCCCCCCCCAGCAATCCCCAATGATATGTAAATGAATGTGAAACAAAATACGTAAGAAAGTGAACGTACCACGGTGAGTCAGGTCCAGTCGGTACCTAAGAGGTAAACAGAAGCGAAAGCGGTTGCGTTATTACTATTGTTGTTGTTATTGTTGTTGTTGTTGTTATTGTTGTTGTTATTCACACTGCTGTGTCAACACGCGAGCGTACAGGCGGCACGGTGTCATTGCGTGGCACAGTCCAAATAAACATCTCATAGGGAATCAACTTGCGTTTAGAGTATTTGGCCGAAATGAATTTGCACGCGATGGGCCGCTCCGTTGAGCTATCATTTGTGGCCAGGTCGCCTCTAGAAAAAAAGATCAATGCAGCTCAGTGGAGTCTTACCTGGTAACAATAAAAACGATGCTAATAGGTGAGGTAGGCTTAAACGATGGTCGCGCGGTAGGTGCGATTCCCCGCCGTGTTGGTGAACTGCCTCCCCTCGGGAGCCACCACTCCTCGGCTCTCACCGGGGCTCTCATCTCACCATAAATTATAGCGGCCCTCCGTCCGTGCATCTGGCTATATCTGTTGAAGCTCGGAAATCAAAACGAATCGCTCTTTCACGTCTGGCACCCGAAGTATGTTTTATTTGAATGTTTTTTTTTTAAAGCTCGGATTTATTGCAAACGTTTCTCGTTAAACTTTGATGTTGACATTTATTGTCGTTTTAAAGCTTTCGTGACTGCAGGGATTCATCTTCTTGGTTCTTTCGGTAAAGTCACGTAGAAGGGAAGTAATAAAATAATAAAAATAAAACATAATAAAATAATTCTCACGACGTTTCGGCTACAACGCAAGCAGCCGTCTTCAGGTGACTAACTTTGCATTCTTCACCTGAAGACGGCTGCTTGCGTTGTAGCCGAAACGTCGTGAGAATTATTTTATTATGTTTTATTTTTATTATTTTATTACTTCCCTTCTACGTGGTGACTTTACCGAAAGAACCAAGAAGATGTATTGTCGTGTTAGGGGCCCCCGTGTGTGTGCGTGTGTTGCGTGGCTGCACGTGCAGATCACGCGGCTATACACTCGATCCGTGGGATTATATTTTCACTTCACATGGAATGAAGTCCATCGCAGGACGGGACGCGCCATCTCCAATGAAGAGTGCAGGTACTTTGTGGAAAGACGGACATCATGTCGTAGCACGAGAAGGGGTGGGATGAGATTGGACGAGATGGGTTCAGAGTCGTGATGTGGTGGCACGGTAATTTCACTGAAATAGGATGGGATCAAATAAGGCTGGAGTGGAAGAGACAGGAGTGGGTTTAGAGAGGATGACAAGTGGATGATAAGGGATGGAGGGCAGCGAGATGCGAATACATTTTATAGAGGATTCTAAGAAAAGGTAATTCACGTGAAGTGGATGGAATTTTGATAAGAATCGATGTGATGGGTTTAAATGGGATTGGATGGAATCGGGTAGGTATTGGATGGTAAGATGTGGGATTGGACGTGAAGGCATGTGACCAGATGGGAATGGGATGGAAAAAATTAACCCGTAAAAACAAAGTTTTTCACTATAAATCCTTTATATGCGTGGCGGCTAGAGTCCTCTCGTCCTCTGGCTTGAGATGGCTGCCACCTATGGGTCAGATGATTGTCTGCCAGTATTAAGCGATTGGTAATTAAATATTTAATTTGTTTTCCCTAAACAGTGTAAAATTTTGGAAAAAAAATTTCACGAACATTAATTGTCTCACACAACGAGTCTGTGTGCAAAATGTCAGCTCGATTGGATCACGGGAAGTGGGTTAAAAAAACGACCGAAAGATTTGCACGGTCGTAAGCAAGCAAGCAAGTGAACTTAATATAAAGGATTTAAAAAGAAGAAATGCGAAGGTGGGAAGGATTGGGAAAGAGGGTTGATGGCATTGCGAGGAGAATGGGTATGGAAGCAGGCTTTACTTATTTAACACTTCATTAGCCTCACACGCTCCAAATAACGGCCCCCCCCCCCACGTCTGTAAGTAGACACGCGCTCTTTAATTTACGAACTTGCCCCCCCCCCCCCCCCCCAAAAAAAAGGCATAATAACTTTGCAAAGTGAAATCTAATTTACGAAAACAGTTAGGATGTTCTTTTTATTTTAATTGCAAACCGAACGCTGATCTAGACACAGACTATTACCGCTGTACGTACTGCATAATTAATTGTAAATTAACTATTACCTCCCCAGAGAGGCGAGTAATTAATACGCGGTGGAAGCGTGCAATTGCAATTAGCGCGGCATTGTCATCGTGAGTGAATTTTAAGGAACTCGGATTTTTCCGTGTTTTCTGTTTTGCCTGCCGGTTACTGACTGCTAGCTCCTAGTTACATCGTCGCAGCGGGAAGCACTTATACATGCAACGGCTGTGCCACTGGAATTCAATTGCCCCTAACGGTTACTTGTGACTTCTTTTTTTTTGGCTGGGAAATGAAGCTGCACTCACTGGAAATTATTTAATGACGTCCCCCGCACAGACGGGGAAACAGCCGAGGACGGCGGGGTGAGCAGGAGGGAGAATTGAGGGTGAGTTGGAACGATGCGGTAGAACGAAATGTATTAGTTTTTTTTTTCTAACTAGGTGACTTTACCGAAAGAACCTAAAGAGTATGAAATGTATTATTATAATCATCATCATGTTTGTTTACCAAGGAGCAGCCTCACTGAGTCTCGTGACCCCCGTTTTCAAGGGGGGTGCCATGGTGGCGAGATGTTAACTACCTCGCCTGCTATACAGGATGTCGCGGGTTCAATCCCGACTTTGTCGCCAGAATATGTGGAGTTTGCGTGTTTTCCCCGTGGTCGCGTGAATGTTTCTCCGGGTCCTCTGGTTGTTCCCTCCACATTTAGAAGCGACATGGGTGGGTTTAGAGTATTCGGCTGCTGTACATTTACACGTTATAAGCCATTCCGTTGAGCTACCATTTGTGGCCAGGCTGCTTCTGAAAAAGAGCTACATAGTTCAGTGGGCCTTACCTGCTACAATAAAATACAACAATAGTTTAGTTTATTGTTGGGTCAACGTCGAGGTCTGTCAGCTGTGAGAGGGCCTCGGAAGAATGAAAACGACACGAACTGATCTCCCTACTGAAGCCTCTACTATAGCTCAGTGGGCCAGAGCTGGTAATTAAAAAAAATATATTTTTAGTTTACATTTCCAATTGACGTTACTTTCTTCCAAGCTGACAAATGTGGGCCACAATGCTGTTCAATGACGTCATCGAATTATTTAGCGTCAACTTTGGACGCAGACGGCAGTCGTAGCGTGATGTATGGGCAATACGCCCGCAGTATTAACCAGGGCGCCCGCTTGATTTGGAACCGCGAATCTCTGCAACAAGCGGCAAACGTGCTACCACCCTGGATATCAATTGGAACGGTGGATGTGACGAGAGCAGAGGCACGGAGTAGAAGCTTAACAAATAGAGCAATAAAAATCTATGATGATAAATAATAATACTTTTTTTTGAAATAACGAATTTAACAATCATCCCAAAACGTGGGTGAGTTGTTCACGATAACGGAGAGATTCTTTAAGATCCATTTTTGTCGAATTCGGCAAAAACACCCCCCCCCCCTCCCTCAATATATCAAGATCCCACAATACACGGTGGTGTATACGAAACGGTGGGTCCTGAATACGTGAGGTCATGGAGCAGGCCCCAAAACCTGCCCACGGCCCAATTAAAATGAAGCCCTACTGTCGGTCGTGATGTAAATCGTTATATTGCGATAATGATTTGCTATGTTAATTTTAGTCTTCTCGCTTATCCGTTATTGTTTATTTATCCGTTGATTTCACTGTGACTTAAACTAGATTCGAAGCTTTCGCGACTGCGGGAATTACTGTTTGGTTCTTTCGGTAAAGTCACGTAGAAAATCAAATCAAATAATAATCGAATATGACGTTTCGGTTGCAACACAAGCAGCCATCGTCAGGTAAGAATGAATGATAAAACACAGACACGGAAACAACATGTCTCTCTCTCTCTCTCTGCATGTGTGTGTGCCTAAGTTGTTTCCGTGTCTGTGTTTTATCATTCATTCTTACCTGATGATGGCTCCTTGTGTTGCAACCGAAACGTCGTATTCTATTATTATCTGATTTTATTTTCTACGTGACTTTACCGAAAGAACCAAAGAGCAGTAACCGTGACTTTTTGCGTCTGTGGGGGTCGGGCGGTGTTGGTTTTTGTCTGCTGATGAAACCCGATTTGAGGGCGTATTGACTCACTGCAAGGCCGTAGCCAAGGAGTGAACATTTGGGGGGACCAAATCTTCCAGGGGGTCTGGGGGTCCCCCCCAGAAAAAAAAATCTAAATTTGAAAATACATTTTTGCCTAAAATAAAAAAATGTAACTAACATATAGGATGGACTTTTAATTAAATTTTTACAATAATGTCTACAAGTGCATTGTATTACATTGCTCTGTTTTTTCTTTTTTACCTTTTCTTGTTTCATTGTATGTAATGGCAGAGATTATGGATTCATAAAGTACAACCATAACCACAATCATATAAACAGAAATCTATTTTACCGCAATATTTTGGGGGGGGGACATTTTTAACATATTTGAATATTGGGGAGGGGGTGTGTGTGTGTGTCCCAATATTTATTATAATTACCGCCTTGACTCACTGGGCAACGCCAAAGAAACCGCGCGCAAGGTACACACTGCATTGGCGCTTACTGATCTCGGCAGAGCCGCACGCTTTTCTGCAGCGATATCTTGAGCGCCTTCGTCTTCACGTCCATCTTCTCGTCGGCGATCGCCCTCAGGAAGTTGTCCATCTCTGCGGAGATCAACGCGAAAGAGCGCCGTGAGCCACCCTCCCACACACCCCCACCACATACACACACACATACAAAGATCCCCCGTGTAGCCTTAACAGACTGTTGAGGCAAGTGCTGTTAGCGAGCAGCTATGAAGGCCAGAACAGCACGCGATGGGGTGGGTGGCCAGCACCACGCCGGCCGCCTTTGTCTCCCCAGTGGCGATGTTTATACACCGCTCCAGGTACTCATTTGAGGCTGAATCGACTCAGGGGTGGCCCAGGACCAGTTCAGATAATCGTCACTGATTTTGACCGTGTGCGGGAATCGAACTCGGATCGCCAGGTTCGTAGCGCAGTGCTAACCGCTACACCACCGCTCCCCATCCACTACGCACGCGCACGCACGTGGACTTCTCGCGGAATCGCCGAGGCGTTTTGTGTAAAGACGTCCGCACGACACTCGTGTGGCCTCGGCGTTTCGTTCGCTGCGAGGCTCCTGCCCGGGATGGGCCTCGAAATGCCCCGATGACAAACAGCTCGGGGGTGATGCTGCCCGTTGCACCGCCGTTTTGAAAAAATAAGCTGATCGATCAAGTGGGTTTTTTTAGCAGGTAAGATAACAAAAATAATGATATTCTTGGTTCTTTTGGTAAAGTCATGTAGAAGGGAAATAATAAAATAATAAAAATATAAAACAATAAAATTATCTCGACGTTTCGACTGCAACACAAGCAATCATCATCATGATCATCATCATGATCATCATGATCATGATGATGATCATGATAATAATAATAATCATGTTGCAGTCGAAACGTCATCATCATGATGATGATTGCTTGTGTTGCAGTCGAAACGTCGTGAGAATTGTATTGTTTGATATTTTTATTATTTTATTATCTCCCTTCTACGTGACTTTACCGAAAGAACCAAGAATATGAATCCCTGCAGTCACGAAAGCTTTAAATAAAAAAGTAATGATGTAGTTTTATTTGTTTTTAGTTTTTAAGAGATTTTTTTACCCGCCTATTTTGAGCTTTGATGCTTACCACCCGTGTATCGATAGTTCAATGTCAACGTGGATTCTTATTGAGAGAGCACTGTGTGTTGTCGTCTTGGTGTGGTCCGGGACTGTTTTGCTGCCTTGTCCAAGCTTGCATTGAGTGTTGAACAATCGGTAGGAATTGATGCACTTATGCATGTTGTACCTTTATACGTTGTTCATCATAATAAAGGTGTTTTGGGTTAGATGGCAACATCCGGCAAATCTCCCGACGATGCTGGATGTAATTACCAGCGAAACGTCGAACTACTCAAATTGTAAATTCTGTGGATTTACTCTCCAGCACACCGGTGGGCTAAAGTAGTATACTACACTATACACTACACTATACACTACACTATACACTACATACTACACGACTATACAATACACTACTGTACACTACACTATACACTACACACTACACTATACAAGACACTGTACACTACTATACACTACTATACACTACACTATACACTCCTGTACACTACACTATACACTACTATACACTACACTATACACTCCTGTAGACTACACTATACACTACTATACACTACACTATACACTCCTGTACACTACACTATACACTACTATACACTACACTATACACTCCTGTACACTACACTATACACTACTATACACTACTATACACTACTATACACTATTATACACTACACTATACACTCCTGTCATCATCATCATCATGGCTTGGCTTCGCGAACGAAGATCTAGGAAGGACATCCACGTCTTCTGCAGGCACGCTGGTGGCTGAAGAGGCCTATGCGGGACAGGCAGGTCCTGCCACAACAGCTGCAAGTGAAGGTCTCATCTGGGATGGGTGCTGAGGGATGACGGTTCTTCCTCCTTCTCCTTTTGTCCTCCATACGGGCCCTGCGGGTATCTTCGAAGAAGGAGGTGGCCTGGTGGACTGTGTGCCGCCAGGAGTTGCGATCAGCTGCTTGTGTTGCCCACTGACGGTGATCGATGCAGCAAGCAGTGAGGGACTTCTTCAGGGAGTCTTTGTATCGCTTTCGTGGTGCCCCTATGTCGCGATGGCCAGAGGACAGTTCCCCATACAGCACAATCTTAGGCAAGCGGTGGTTCTCCATCCTGGCGATGTGCCCTGCCCAACGAAGCTGTGTCTTGAGGACCATGGCCTCGATGCTGATGACCTTCGCTGACTTGAGGACTTCAGTGTTGGCGACGAAGTCACTCCAGTGAATATTGAAGATTGTGCGCCTTTTATTTGGTTGAGGGGTGTAGGGAGCTCTGGGTAGAGGTAGTACCTTTGTTTTCTGGTAGCTGCACTCAATTTTTGAGTGGACGGAAACACTGGTCCTCATCCATCTCCTAAATCTCTGACGTCTGGCTCCTAGTGCCACACCCCGGTAAACCGCTTCAGCTGGCGGGCTAAACGACGTGAGGGGGTGATGTCAACACTGCATCACTGGGCGAATGAACTCCCACGACGGAGTCACCGGCCAGGGCGGAAGGGTCTCGTTAGGACCCAACGGCCAAGTGTTCGGGACCAAGGCGCGCCACTTCGTTACTGTGGACTGCGGCTGTGGCCTACCAGCTATGGTTTGAAATAGCAGGGAAGGTGGATCTCTTCAGCCTTGGAAGGCCGTCTACCTAGGAGAAGGAAACTCTGATGTAAAACCTACGGCCCGAGGACCTCGCTGTCACCGTCCCAGCTTGCTAGGCCATGGCAGACGAACCCCGGGTTTAAAGGGTGGGGTCAGTTCTGCGCACACTGCACTCCACTTGAAAGCTCCTTTGCGCAGGCAAGAAGGAAATCACGTCTACCCCCCCCCCCCCCCGGTTTCACTAAGTCCTGTAGCGATGGGAAAGGGGCGAACTCGGCAGGTGTAAGATGACACTGGCAGCCGCAGTCTCAATCCTGCATGCAGGCGGCTCAGGCGCAAGTGGTCGTCTGATGATGACCTGGAAACGACATCATCACCCGGCAGCACCCTGAGCGACCAAGCAGCCTTTTCTAGGGACAGCACTGCTTGCTCCACACGGAGAGGGGCCTAGAAAAGGTGGCCTAAACAAAGCTCGTCTCCTCCTCCCTCAGTTGGCTTACCGCGGTCAACGGGCATCTTCATATGCGGTCGAATTACATCAAAGAATCGACGGCGCATCCCACTCGCCTTAAAAGGTGGGAAAGGACTCAAACTCGCATGCTGGAACATCAGAACCATGCTAGACTCAGCTGACAGCACTCGACCTGAGCGACGATCTGCTCTAATTGCACACGAACTCGCTCTGCTGGATGTTGACATCGCCGCCCTCAGCGAAATCCGCTTTTCAGAGGAAGGGAGTCTGAGGGAGCATGGCGCAGGTTACACTCTCTACTGGTCAGGCAAACCAGCGACAGAGAGACGCCGTTCAGGTGTCGGCTTCATGATCAGGGACTCTATCGCTACCAAGCTTGCAAGCCTGCCAACTGGTCACTCTGACCGCATCATCTCAATGCGTCTACCACTTCGTGACCAGCAACACGCAACGCTGCTCAGTGTGTACGCTCCAACTCTCCAGGCAGATCCCGCTGATAAAGACAAGTTTTACTCCGACCTACGCAGCCTTCTGCAGGATATCCCAGCTGACGACAAGATTGTCATCCTTGGCGACTTCAACGCCAGAGTGGGCAGAGACTCGGAAACCTGGAAAGGCGTACTTGGAAGGCACGGTGTGGGCAGCTGCAACGACAATGGACGCTTGTTACTTGAACTCTGTGCGGAACAGCAGCTTTCCATTACCAACACCATCTTCCAGCAGAAAAACAGTCTGAAAACAACCTGGATGCACCCTCGGTCAAAACATTGGCATCTCATAGACTACATCCTTGTGCGCCAGCGTGACCTAAAAGATGTCTTTCACACCAGGGTAATGCCCAGCGCCGAGAGTCACACAGACCACCGTCTTGTCCGCTGCAAACTCAGCTTTCACTTTAAACCCAGACCAAGAAACGGTGGCGCCCCGAGGAAGAAGCTCAAAGTCTGCAGCCTTCAGTCTGCCGTGGTCAAAGCAGCTTTCCAGAAAAGCCTACGATCTAGGCTAGAGGAACCGAGCTGCCTAGGAGACTCGCCTCCGATTCCTGAAGTGCTGTGGGACCGCATCAAAACTGTTGTTCTGCAAACATCTGAAGATACCCTCGGATTCTCCACGAAGAAAAACAGAGATTGGTTCGATGAGAACAACTTAGAAGTCCAGGAGCTGCTGTCAAAGAAGAGATCAGCACACCAGGCCCACCTGGCCCGACCATCCTGCCCGCACAAAAAAGCAGCCTTCCGCCTGGAATGCAGCACCATCCAGCGCAAGCTTCGAGAGATTCAGAACGAGTGGTGGACCAACCTCGCAGTAAAAACTCAGGTTTGCGCTGATACTGGCGACTACAGGGGATTCTACGAAGCCCTAAAAGCGGTATATGGCCCCTCGTACCAAATCCTGAGCCCCCTGCGGAGTGCAGACGGGAACAAACTGCTCACTGAAAAGGACTCAATCCTGAACCGCTGGTCTGAGCACTTCTACACGCTCTTCAATGCTAGCCGCTCAGTCCAAGAACCAGCGATTGACCGCATCCCACAACAACCAGTGAAAACCGAACTGGATGTGGCACCAACATTACAAGAGACTGAGGAAGCCATTAAACAGCTGAAGAGTGGTAAAGCTGCAGGAGTCGATGGCATCCCTCCTGAAGTATGGAAGAACGGAGGCCCAGCATTACACACCAAACTCCATGAATTCTTCGTCTGCTGCTGGGAGCAGGGTAAACTCCCTCAAGATCTCAAAGATGCAGTCATCATCACCCTGTACAAGAACAAAGGGGAGAAATCAGACTGTTCCAATTATCGTGGCATAACACTTCTGTCCGTCGCCGGCAAAATCCTCGCAAGAGTACTGCTGAATAGACTGGTACCCGCAATAGCTGAAGATCACCTCCCAGAGACCCAGTGTTGCTTTAGAGCCAACCGGGGAACCACAGACATGGTGTTTGTCCTGAGGCAGATTCAGGAAAAGTGCCGGGAGCAAAACAAAGCACTGTACGTCACCTTTGTGGACCTGACAAAAGCGTTTGACACCGTGAGCAGGCAGGGACTTTGGAAAATCCTGGACAAGCTAGGCTGCCCACCGAAGTTCCTCACCATGATCGTCCAGCTTCATGAAGACCAGCTTGGACAAGTCAGACATAGCAACAATCTCTCGCAGCCCTTCCCTATTGCAAACGGCGTGAAACAGGGCTGTGTTCTTGCTCCCACGCTGTTCACCATTTTGTTCAGCATGATGCTCCAGCAGGTCACAGAGGACCTCGACGACGCTGATGGCGTATACATCCGTTTTCGTCTCGACGGGAGCGTGTTCAACCTGAGGCGTTTGCAGGCCCACACAAAGACCATGGAGCAACTGATCAGGGAGCTGCTTTTTGCTGACGATGCCGCCCTCCTTGCTCATACAGAGGCAGCTATGCAGCGAATTACGTCCTGTTTCGCGAAAACAGCTCAGATCTTCGGCCTTGAAGTCAGCCTGAGGAAGACTGAAGTTCTTCATCAGTCCGCACCCCAGGAGGAGCACCATCCACCAAGCATCTTCATTGAACAAACAGAACTGAAAGCTGTCCACCAGTTCAGCTACTTGGGGTGCGTCATCTCGTCTGACGCCAAGATCGACAATGAAGTCGACAACAGGCTGGCCAAGGCAAACAGTGCATTTGGCAGACTATACAAACGTGTCTGGAACAACAGAAACCTTAAAAGAGCCACAAAGGTCAACGTCTACAAAGCTGTTGTGCTGACCACTCTCCTGTATGGCGCTGAGTCATGGGTCACGTACCGTCGTCACCTGAGTCTCCTCGAGCGTTTCCATCAGCGCTGCCTCCGCACAATCTTCACACTCCTGTACACTACACTATACACTACTATGCACTACACTATACACTACTATACACTACACTATACACTCCTGTACACTACACTATACACTACTATACACTACTATACACTACTATACACTACACTATACACTCCTGTACACTACACTATACACTACTATGCACTACACTATACACTACTATACACTACACTATACACTACTGTACACTATACACTACTATACACTACACTATACACTACTATACACACACTATACACTACTATACACTACACTATACACTACTATACACTATACTACACACTACTATACACTACACTATACACTACTATATACTACTATACACTACACTATACACTACTGTACACTACACTATACACTACTGTACACTACTATACACTACACTATACACTACTATACACCTATACTAGTAACTAATTAGCACGTGTTTGTTCACGTGACAAACCTTACTGGCTGTGTCGGGTGGTGGAGGGTTACGACACATTTATACTTACGCGATCTCACCCAAACACCTTTATCATGAAGAATATTGGTCGCGAAAGCCAGCTCCGTGGTTAACACGTTATCAATTTATTTTCTCTTATAATTTTTCGTAACACGTTTAGCGTTTTTCTATTTAACACGCATACATTTTTGTTTGTATCGTTTGTTGTTGCGACTCGCTACTGGACATTCTGTTAAAATACCAACCCTGAATAGTCTCATTAAAGATTATCCATCATCAGCCATGATCAATCCACTGCTTGACGAAAGCCCCCCCCCCTCTCCCCAGGCCATCGCCCCCCCCCCCCTCGCGGCTCTGCCAATGGAACACCCCACAGAGGAGTAAGTGGGCATCTTCCTCTCGCGCGCGCCTCCGCCTGTTTCCACTGCTCAGCAGCTTGAGCTCAAGCTCGTGTCCCATCTCTGCACAATCTCTGCGGGCCGTCGTGTCGCTTACGACGGCGGTTCGCTCGTCTCACCCCAGCCCCCCAAACCCATATAATTTAAATGCCCACAGCGGCTGTGAGCGCTGTGGGGCCGTCCATAAATGACGTCACGCGATTTTGAACGATTTTTTACCCCCCCCCACCCCCTCCATCGTCACACGGCGTCACAAAAAGTCAGACCCCCCCCCTCAAATATGACGTCACAAAGCTCTGCCCCCCCCTCAAATATGACGTCACAAAAAGTCAGACCCCCGCCCCTCAAATATGACGTCACAAAGCTCTGCCCCCCCCCCCCAAAACCATATTTCCATCTTGAAAATAAACCATGCTTCAAATCGCTTTAAACTATTGTCATTGTAGTGCGTATTTAATGTGCCGCTGCACTCTGATGTTGTAGGAGAAACATTTATTAAAAAGTATATTTAATTAAGTAGAACGTGTTGTCTTTATTTATTTAAAGTTGCGCATTTTGATGTGACGTCACATTTCTCACCACCCCCTCGTCACACATCGTCACAAATGTCCCCCCCCCCTAGGTGCGTGACGTCATTTATGGACGGCCCTTCTGCGGAAACAGCAGCGGCAGATTCTGTAGGGGCATTTCATTTAAAACTATGAATTTTTATATTTTATTTCACCAGGTAAGGCGCCACTGAGCGAGGCAGCTCTTGCCAGAAGCGACCTGATGATCGCTCAACTAAGTTGCATTAAATTTCGATGTAAAGCTTTCGTGACTGCAGGGATTCATCTCCTTGGTTCTCTCGTTCATAGCATACGCCAAAAACAAACGCTGTCTGTTCGTCGCTTGTGAATTCAACCAGAAAACAAACATTGTTGTCGTATCTTCTTGGTTCTTTCGGTAAAGTCACGTAGAAAGGAAATAATAAAGTAATAAAAATAAAACATAATAAAATACAATTCTCACGACGTTTCGGCCACAACGCAAGCAGCCGTCCTCAGGTGAAGAACAGGGCTGTCGGAAAGACAGCGTTGTCGTAATTCGGACAGCTGACCTCATTGTAAACCCATTCACAGGGCTGCCTTGGAGTGAGTATACACGGCACTACCGCAAGATTACACCACTGTCTACTATACTATTGTGTACCCTACATTCCTATCATCGTATGAGCAGGTTTAAGGCCAAGTAAGGTCGTGGTGGATGTGGCCGGCTGTGACGGAGACGGAAAAACACGGAGACACGGGGAAGAAGACACGGGGACAGAGATACACACAGACAGAGAGACACGGGAGGGTGAGGGGGTGAGGCTCGTGTGTGTGTGTGTGGTGGTGGTGGTGCAGACGCCTCGCCTCTGATGAGTGCGGCCACGTCTCTCGGGAGGCCCTCGTTGTCCATCTTCGATGCCGGCTCGAGGAAGTGGCTCCTGCAACACGAACACGCGGAAGCAGCGAGGAGGAGGGAGAGCCTGCTTATCAAGCCGCTCCATCTCTCTGCGTCACGGTCCCCCACCTGCTGCAACGTGCCCGCAGTCTGCAGCCCCCCAGCGAGTTTCCGTCACCTGAAGCTTGCGGCTGTAAAATTCCTCGCCTGCTACACACGCGGCCCGTGGGTTGTACGTTTGGAGTTTGCGTTTCTCTCGCACGTGACTTTTCTTTCGTGTTGTGCGCGGTGCATTTAGCGCCACAGCGCGTGGATTTATGGCGTTCGTTTTCATTTGTGTTGCTGGTGACTTTGTGTGTTTCATATCGGAATCGCCTCCAGTGCTGCTGCTGCTGGCGGCAATAAAAGTGGTTTAAAAGGCAAGTCTCTTTCTCTCTTTCTCCGTGGTCGTGTGCATTTTTCTCCGGCTGTAGGCTGGAGCCTGGAGCTGTAGGCTGGAGCTGGAGCTGTAGACTGGAGCCTGGGGCTGTAGACTGGAGCCTGGAGCTGTAGACTGGAGCATGGGGCTGTAGGCTGGAGCATGGAGCTGTAGACTGGAGCCTGGGGCTGTAGACTGGAGCCTGGGGCTGTAGACTGGAGCATGGAGCTGTAGACTGGAGCTGTAGACTGGAGCCTGGGGCTGTAGACTGGAGCCTGGGGCTGTAGACTGGAGCCTGGGGCTGTAGACTGGAGCCTGGGGCTGTAGACTGGAGCCTGGGGCTGTAGACTGGAGCCTGGGGCTGTAGGCTGGAGCCTGGAGCCTGGAGCTGTAGACTGGAGCTGTAGGCTGGGGCCTGGGGATGTAGACTGGAGCCTGGGGCTGTAGGCTGTAGGCTGGAGCTGTAGACTGGAGCCTGGAACCTGGAGCTGTAGGCTGGAGCTGTAGACTGGAGCCTGGAGCCTGGAGCTGTAGGCTGGAGCTGTAGACTGGAGCCTGGAGCCTGGAGCCTGGAGCTATAGGCTGGAGCATGGAGCTGTAGACTGGAGCCTGGAGCTGTAGGCTGGAGCATGGAGCTGTAGACTGGAGCTGGAGCTGTAGGCTGGAGCCTGGGGCTGTAGACTGGAGCCTGGGGCTGTAGGCTGGAGCCTGGGGCTGTAGGCTGGAGCCTGGGGCTGTAGACTGGAGCATGGGGCTGTAGGCTGGAGCATGGGGCTGTAGACTGGAGCCTGGGGCTGTAGGCTAGAGCCTGGGGCTGTAGACTGTAGCATGGGGCTGTAGACTGGAGCCTGGAGCTGTAGGCTGGAGCCTGGGGCTGTAGACTGGAGCCTGGGGCTGTAGGCTGGAGCCTGGGGCTGTAGACTGGAGCATGGGGCTGTAGGCTGGAGCGTGGAGGCGTAGACTGGAGCATGGGGCTGTAGACTGGAGCCTGGGGCTGTAGACTGGAGCCTGGGGCTGTAGACTGGAGCCTGGGGCTGTAGGCTGGAGCCTGGGGCTGTAGACTGGAGCATGGGGCTGTAGGCTGGAGCATGGGGCTGTAGACTGGAGCCTGGGGCTGTAGGCTGGAGCCTGGGGCTGTAGACTGGAGCATGGGGCTGTAGACTGGAGCCTGGAGCTGTAGGCTGGAGCCTGGGGCTGTAGACTGGAGCCTGGGGCTGTAGGCTGGAGCATGGGGCTGTAGACTGGAGCCTGGGGCTGTAGGCTGGAGCCTGGGGCTGTAGACTGGAGCATGGGGCTGTAGACTGGAGCCTGGAGCTGTAGGCTGGAGCCTGGGGCTGTAGACTGGAGCCTGGGGCTGTAGACTGGAGCATGGGGCTGTAGGCTGGAGCGTGGAGGTGTAGACTGGAGCATGGGGCTGTAGACTGGAGCCTGGGGCTGTAGACTGGAGCCTGGGGCTGTAGGCTGGAGCCTGGGGCTGTAGACTGGAGCATGGGGCTGTAGGCTGGAGCTGGGGCTGTAGGCTGGAGCCTGGGGCTGTAGACTGGAGCCTGGGGCTGTAGACTGGAGCCTGGGGCTGTAGACTGGAGCCTGGGGCTGTAGGCTGGAGCCTGGGGCTGTAGACTGGAGCATGGGGCTGTAGGCTGGAGCTGGGGCTGTAGGCTGGAGCCTGGGGCTGTAGACTGGAGCCTGGGGCTGTAGACTGGAGCCTGGGGCTGTAGGCTGGAGCCTGGGGCTGTAGACTGGAGCATGGGGCTGTAGGCTGGAGCTGGGGCTGTAGGCTGGAGCCTGGAGCTGTAAACTGGAGCTGGAGCTGTAGGCTGGAGCTGGGGCTGTAGGCTGGAGCCTGGAGCTGTAGACTGGAGCCTGGAGCTGTAGACTGGGGCTGGAGCTGTAGGCTGGAGCTGGGGCTGTAGGCTGGAGCCTGGGGCTGTAGACTGGGGCCTGCGCGTGCAGTGTGCCAGACCTTCTTGCTGTGGGTGTGCGCCGTGCTTAGAGTTCACGAGGCTGCTCGCTCTGACCGCAGGGACCTCGCGGGAAATGATTACACTCAGCACAAGCATTATCGTTTCGGAGTATTCCTTTCTGCACGTCGGCGTCCTCGTGCCAGTGCACGGTATAATGTGCCCGGGAATAGCCTCGCCGAGTCCCAAGGCTCACTCTCGAGAGGGAGTGCGGTCCTGAGTTTTGTGATGGTTGGCCATTTGCTGAGCGAGTGAGACACGTGCTTTGTTTTTGTTTCGGCCACATTTTCGGAAGGGGACAACTTTCGCCGAGAAGACATCATCGGTGTGAGCGCAGCCGCACGTTTGTTGGGGTTGACAGCAGCACGATGATGATGATGGTGGTGGGGTGGGCGAGGGGGTGTTTCCACATGTTTGGGGTCGACAATGGCCCCCGGGCCTTGCAATGAAGAACACTGGGTGAGGCCATCACGCGGTAGTTCTTTGTTTACGTCCAAATTTCTCCTAATTAATATCTCCATAATATCAACATTGAACACAAAACTTGCGTTGTAAGTTTGCTTGTGTTTTTTTTTTGGGGGGGGGGGCTCAAGGTTCACCTGGTGAGGCCATCACGCGGTAGTTCTTTGTTTACGTCCAAAATTATCGTAATTAATATCTCCATGATATCAACAATGAACGCAAAACTTGCGTTGTAAGTTTTCTTGTTGATGAGTCGTTTTATTTTTTTTGGGGGGGGGGGGGGTGGGGGGTCAAGGTTCACCTGGTGCAACAGAAATCAACTTTCAACTTGGGGAAGCGAAACTAAATAACCCAGAGGAAACTAACACCGCTCGTGTGTGTGTGTGGTGGTGGTGGTGCAGACGCCTCGCCTCTGATGAGCGCGGCCACGTCTCTCGGGAGGCCCTCGTTGTCCATCTTCGATGCCGGCTCGAGGAAGTTCCTCCTGCAACACGAACACGCGGAAGCAGCGAGGAGGAGGAGGGAGAGCCTGCTTATCAAGCCGCTCCATCTCCCCGCGCCACGGCCCCCACCTGCTGCAACGTGCCCGCAGCCTGCAGCCCCCCAGCGAGTTTCCGTCACCTGAAGCTTGCGGCTGTAAAATTCCTCGCCTGCTACACACGCGGCCCGTGGGTTGTACGTTTGGAGTTTGCGTTTCTCTCGCACGTGACTTTTCTTTCGTGTTGTGCGCGGCGCATTTAGCGCCACAGCGCGTGGATTTATGGCGTTCGTTTTCATTTGTGTTGCTGGTGACTTTGTGTATTTCATATCGAAATCGCCTCCAGTGCTGCTGCTGCTGGCGGCAATAAAAGTTGTTTAAAAGTCAAAGTCTCTTTCTCTCTTTATCCGTGGTCGTGTGCATTTTTCTCCGGCAGTAGGCTGGAGCCTGGAGCTGTAGACTGGAGCCTGGAGCTGTAGGCTGGAGCCTGGGGCTGTAGACTGGAGCCTGGGGCTGTAGACTGGAGCCTGGGGCTGTAGACTGGAGCCTGGGGCTGTAGACTGGAGCCTGGGGCTGTAGACTGGAGCCTGGGGCTGTAGACTGGAGCCTGGGGCTGTAGACTGGAGCCTGGGGCTGTAGACTGGAGCATGGGGCTGTAGACTGGAGCCTGGGGCTGTAGACTGGAGCCTGGGGCTGTAGACTGGAGCCTGGGGCTGTAGACTGGAGCCTGGAGCTGTAGACTGGAGCCTGGGGCTGTAGACTGGAGCTGTAGGCTGGAGCCTGGAGCTGTAGGCTGGAGCCTGGAGCTGTAGACTGGAGCCTGGAGCTGTAGACTGGAGCTGTAGGCTGGAGCCTGGGGCTGTAGACTGGAGCTGTAGACTGGAGCCTGGAGCTGTAGGCTGGAGCTGTAGGCTGGAGCTGGAGCTGTAGCCTGGAGCTGTAGACTGGAGCTGGAGCTGTAGGCTGGAGCTGGAGCTGTAGCCTGGAGCTGTAGGCTGGAGCTGTAGGCTGGAGCTGGAGCTGTAGACTGGAGCTGTAGGCTGGAGCTGTAGGCTGGAGCTGTAGGCTGGAGCATGGAGCTGTAGGCTGGAGCTGTAGGCTGGAGCTGTAGGCTGGAGCTGTAGACTGGAGCTGGGGCTGTAGGCTGGAGCTGTAGACTGGAGCTGTAGGCTGGAGCTGTAGACTGGAGCATGGAGCTGTAGGCTGGAGCTGTAGACTGGAGCTGTAGGCTGGAGCTGTAGGCTGGAGCTGGAGCTGTAGACTGGAGCTGTAGACTGGAGCTGTAGGCTGGAGCTGTAGGCTGGAGCATGGAGCTGTAGACTGGAGCTGTAGACTGGAGCTGTAGGCTGGAGCTGTAGGCTGGAGCTGTAGACTGGAGCTGTAGGCTGGAGCTGTAGGCTGGAGCATGGAGCTGTAGACTGGAGCTGTAGACTGGAGCCTGGAGCTGTAGGCTGGAGCTGTAGACTGGAGCCTGGAGCTGTAGACTGGAGCATGGAGCTGTAGGCTGGAGCTGTAGGCTGGAGCTGTAGGCTGGAGCTGTAGACTGGAGCCTGGAGCTGTAGACTGGAGCCTGGAGCTGTAGGCTGGAGCTGTAGGCTGGAGCTGTAGGCTGGAGCCTGGAGCTGTAGGCTGGAGCTGTAGGCTGGAGCATGGAGCTGTAGACTGGAGCTGTAGGCTGGAGCCTGGAGCTGTAGGCTGGAGCTGTAGGCTGGAGCATGGAGCTGTAGACTGGAGCTGTAGACTGGAGCTGTAGGCTGGAGCTGTAGACTGGAGCTGGGGCTGTAGAC